AGGAGGAGGAAGAGGCAGAGGAAGAGGAGGATACGGATACAACTCTGGTACAGTTCACTTTTAAATAAGAAAAAACTGAAACTCTGCCCGTCAGGCCAGAACTTCAGGATTCTGCTTGAAATCCTTGAAAACGCTTGAATTTAGATTTCAATTAGGTCCTTGAAAGTGCTTGATATTCAAACTGCTCAGTTTTATAATAAATTTTATGTTTGAAAACAATTTGGAAAATGTTATTTACAGTTGAAACCAGATTCACAGACGTTGAAACAGACTAAACTTTTTTTTTTTAGATTAATTAAAATTACCTAAATTATTTACATTTGCTAAATGTCATAAAACTGGGTGAGAATTATTTTGATGGTAGAAAGAAACTGAAATTGGAAATAAAAACAATAAAACTGAACTAAAAAGACAAAGTTTGGTGATGTAAAAGTCTGGAACTGTGGGAAAACTTCTCAATCCTGTGCAGCCTCCAGGGATCACGAGAACAACCCGCCCTACGGGAGCCTGGAGGCGAACACGGAGACGGACCAGACGGCCGACACGGACGCCAGCGAGTCCAACCTGCCTGCCAACCGCCGCCGTCGCTCCCGGCGACGCAGAACGGACGAGGACGCCACCCTGATGGACGGCATGAGCGAGTCCGACAACGCCTCCGTCAGCGAAAACGGAACAGGTATTTTTCATTTTTATTTACTTTGGAGAACAAATTTCCCATGATTCCCTTTACCGAGTCCGAGGGAAAAGAGCTGCTGCTGGCATTCAGGCTCAAACCAAGGAACCGATCCGATTCTTTGTGATGACTCAACGTTCCCAGATTTGTCCGAAGCAAAACCTCAGCGTCGCAATCGCAGCCGCCGCCGCCGCATGCGCCTGCCTGAGGAGAGGCAGCCAGGTAACGCAGCAGCTGCAGCGCCGCTGCAGGCGTCTGCAGCGCCGCTCCACACAGAGCTAAATGAAGCAGAAATTAACTAGCATGAATGTTGCATGTTGCTAACGAACTCGGTACTTTGTCCTTATGGACCATCTGCACTTTGAATCGCCTTGTTGCTGAAAATGTGCAATATAAATAAAACCACCTTTACCTTATCTTACCTTTTCTGTTGTTTACATCCGGAAATTTCTTTGACCTGTTATCCATAACTGCGCTGCAGCAGCAGAACGATACATTAACTAAATACAAATTATTATTAATTCAGTTCAGTTCGCCGCAGCAAAGGAAGAAATAACACAGAAAAACCAGTGAAGAACCCAAAACAATTTTTATTCTTGTTTTTCTCGCTCTGTGTCAGCTATGCGACGCAGACTCGTTGCCATAGCAACTGATAACCTTGTCATAATTTGTTTCAGGATTCAAAACCAAAAATCACTCAAACATCCCCACACAAACAGAACATTCAGTCTGTTACAGTTTCATGTTTCCAGGCTCCATGTTTAGTTTGATCATCAATAAGTGATCGCTGTGGTGGATTAGCTACCGCTGCTATTAGCTAAGCTAACGGCGCCGGTTGATTAGCTCATTTAAATATCTGATGATCTGTCAGCGTTGGTGTTTTAGTCGCCTTTTTAAATGTTTTTAACTGAATCAAAACACAGAAATCTGCTGCACATCTAAATTCTGCATCAGAAAGAAAGGATTATTTTTCTTTCTTTGTTTCATTCCTTTCATTACTTCTTTTTTTCTTTATCTTTGTTTCTTTCTCTTCTTTTTTGCTCTTTCTCTTACTTTCTATTACCAGAATGGAGATTTCTAAGCTCATTTTAATTTATCATGTGATTGATTGATTAATTCCTTGTTGCAGCAGACCCATTAGCGCCACCTCTGCTGTCGACTGATGTTTGTCTTTTTTTATTTTACATATTTGTATCGGTTCTATAAGTTAACCGTTTTTTTCCATCCGTCGTATTGATTGAATTGATATGGAAACATACAAATACCTGGTAAATATCTGTTATCGGCCAGAACAACATTAATATTTGATACCAATGCTGGCCCAAATTTACAAATCAGTGCGTCGCCTCCCTTCATAAATATTTTCTACTTTGTGTTGGCTTGTCACAAAAAATCTAAAATTCACTAAAGTTTGTGGTTTTAATGTGATAAATGGGGAAACATGAATATTTGTATGTTTCTGTAACTGAATGAGATGTTGGTGTGATTTTTCGGCTGCCTGTTCCTGGTTGGTACTGAATTAACACGAGGCTGAACGTTTGGAGCTGCTCTGCTTTCCTTCACGCCTGCAGCCAGTTTGTGTTGGTTAAATAACCTGAGAGGGTTTTTGTTGGGTTGTTAATGCAGTGACTGTGGCTGACTACATATCCAGGGCTGAATCTCAGAGCAGACAGATGACCGCCAAGGATACCAAGAAAAACAAGGAAGTGGTCAGTAAACGCTACAGCAGCTGCGTTTCCACTACAGATGCGACGCAAAACGTTCTTCCATCCCGAAATGCACTAATGTCGATACAGGTGAAAAAGCACCTGATATTAGCGCAAAATGTTTTTCTTTTAAATTGTTTACATTAAGCAAATTTATCGTCATAATTCAAATTCACGCAATTTTAAGGGCAATGGAAACACATCTTATCGCTACGTTTCCATTATAAATGTGCTTAAACTGTTGTTATTCCGCCAAAGTCAAAAAAACCCAGTTTCACAATTGTGGTTCTTCTAGTAAATAAGAAACCTGTGAATAAGTTTAATGTGAAAAGTCATTAAAAACCTTCCTACCACTTCCTGTCGTCGTCTTCATCGTTTCCAGTTGCAGTTTTAATTCGGCTGAAAATCATCCTAATGCAAAACCATTTTATCGAAAGACGTTTATTTTCCGCAGTTTTCAGTCAATGGAAACGCAGCTACATTCAGTTGTGAGACCAGCTGAGTTTTTCCTTCCATTGAACTTTCCAGTTCCTCCCTCATGGTGTTTTCTATGTCTTCAGGGTCAGGCGGAGGTCATTGCTGAGCACAGCCCCCAGTCGGCTCCGGCAACCACCAACGGCTCCAACGACGACGTGTCCGACGCCCCCACAGCCTCCTCCTACCAGAGGGACTCCAACCCACAACCCGTTGTGAACGGACTCTCCTAGTTGGACCCCAGCAGATGAAATGGTTTCAAATATTGATGACATTTGATTGGATCTCCATGTCGGCGTAGAGGCGTCAAATGTTAACATCTAAACACAACAAGCACTGTTTTTTTTTTTTTTACTTAATATTTGAAACCCGTTGTGCAGCAAACCTTTTAGCGCTCTGAACCCCGACCTTCACATGTTTATCTCTGCTTCTGTTCATTTTCTTTTCAATACTTCTTCCAGTATGAGCTTGCCAAAGATAGTCACACACACACACTCTTAGAGCTGCACTCTTAGTCCTCTCTTCGTCTCTGAGCTCGGACTGAATGCAGTATTTCCATAATGCAGACAGGGATTTTAATCAGATACTGTGGTGTGGCTGCAGCCGTTTTCCTGGTTCATAATGTCGTAGTCTGCCTTCTATCAGGTGAACGTAGCAGAATCATTTCTTTTTGGGATGTTTTGTGCATCAAGTTAAATGTTCTGCATGAGCAGAGTGTAGAAGGTTTGCTGAAAAACCCAAGTGTGACGTACTTGTGATCAGCTGTCGTGCCTTGAGAGTAGACTCAACAAGTTGCTGCCTGGCTCTGCGCTCCATCTGGAGTCCCTCCTCCCCTCACCTGCCACCAGTGGAACCAGTCCGGGTCACCTGCCACCAGTGGAACCAGTCCGGGTGAGTCGGCGTGCGAAATGCTGAGGGGTTTCAGAGCCTTCTTTTCAAATCAGGTGTCTCTGCTCTTAAAGTCGCTGGGAGGGGGATTCGGTGATCCTTTAAGTGTATCTGGAGGATTTTTTGACTTTTAGCTGCTTCCTGTTCTTTAATATGCAACCACTTGGATCATAGGAGAGATGTTATTACTGCAGATCTGGAAAAGAAACGAGAAGAGTTGTTTTGTTTGCACTGAAGCGTAACCTTTTACTCTTAAAGCTGATTGTAGTCGAGTCTGAAAGCCGTAGCGTTGCTGGTTTTCTGGGAACATCTCGCTGCCCAACCTTCTGTTTGATCAAGTTCGACACTGAGAACTTCAGAAGACGGTCAGGAATAACAGCTGGATTAATCCGGTGTTGAGATGTTGCAAAAAACCGAAGCAGAGCGACGACGGTCTTTTCATGGTTCTTCCACACCGGCTGGCTGGAAACTGGTCACGACTGTTCCTCTGAGGAAGATTTATTTGGATTATTTATTTTTTAAAAAGTGTACAGTATTTAAAAAACATAAAAAAATAAAGACACTCTTCTTTTTCTTGACACTAAAACGTGATATCCAGAGGTTTTCATACATCCATCTACGATTTGGACTACTGACAGTTGTAACATCCCAAGAGTTTTTGTTGGGTCAACTACAGTAAACTGTTTCTTTTTTAAGAATTGTCTGGTTGGTTGATGTGCAATATGTTTTGTACGCAGGTAGTTCCTAAATAAACTTGATCTTCTATGTAGATCTGAACCCAAATGTCTGATTCTCTTATATAATTCATCTTGTGCTCATATCACTGCAGAAATGCATCAATCTGTGTGAATATTTTTCTCTTTTTTTAGTGCAATTTTGCAGAAATTGTTCCTTTTTGGACTGGAGTTATGTTGTAGGTTGATCTAAATACAAGGTTGTGAAAAAGTATTTCCTCCCTTAGAGGTTTTGTTTTTGTTTTGATGTTGCATCTAAATATTTTTAATTTTTTGAGCTAAAAATGCCTTATTAATCCCAAATAATTCAAATTTTAGATTAAAAAGTGAAAACAAAATACAGTTCTCAAATTCATTCATCAACCAAACATGTATAAACTTTTACTTGCGTAAAAGACAAAAACTATTTCAATATATATTCAGAAATATCAGGATACTAATATTTGTGGATATCCAGAAATATTTTAGACGTTTGTCAAGTGTAAAAAAAATTTGACACCTTCATAAACAGTTATTGTTTTGTGGTTTTATTTCATTTGGGAAGAATTAGAAAAAAAACAATCAAGTGCTTTCTTAACCCAGCCCATATAAAAGCAGCGTGAAATTAATTTTATTTTGTTTCGTCCTGATCTTCAGCTCTGCTTCCTGGCTTGGCCATCCATCAAGTCCTTGGCTTCATTTATTTTTGCAGCGATGTACGGAGAACCACCTGTGACAAAAACACACATTCAGTTTTACTGGCAGTAAAAGTTCAGGTTTTGGTGGAGAGCGGGGGGCAGAACATACCTCTGTCTGGATGGTTCAGGACCATCAGCTTTCTATGGGCTTCTCGGATCTTATTCTTGTTGGCTGTGGGACTGAAAAAGGGAAATGTTGCACAAGAAATGATCACAGACAGAAATAGGAGTTTAAAAAGATAACAGCTGGATGAGAACACAGTGCAAATAACTGACGTAAAGGAGATGCATTATGCAAATTTCACATACCTGACACCTAAAATGAGAGCAGCTTCTCTCTTTGTCATCTTTGGTTCAAACCCGCCTCTGTAGTATCCTCCTCCAAAGGCCTGAAGCAGCAGAAAGCACAACGCTGACTGATAAAAGGCTGCCACAAAATGATAAATAGAAACTTTTAGTTTTATTTTTTTATTACCGTCTTGGGAAAACTCTGGAGAGCCTGTTTCACCTGTGGCTCCATTTGTTTCATGGCCTGCATGGCGTAGCGACCTGCCGGGAAAACATGCAGTTCTTACTGCTGACCAGAGGGGGCAGAGTTCCCAAAAATCACAGTAGAAATACTGCAACATGTTTTTACTCAACTAAAAGTAAAAAGTAACCATCCAAGAAATTACTCAAGAGTAACAAAGTATTTGGCAAAAGGTATTGAATAACTGATCAAATTATCAATCATTTAATATTTAAAAATTACATCATCAAGCGGACTAAAATATAAAGTTAAGTAGAAATGTTGGTATTTTAAGGACCAAAATGACAATAATTCATATAAATAACAAAAAATACATAAAATCAGGCAAAAGAAAATTTTCCTAAATCAATTTTTGTCAATAAAAACCTTATGAAACTTTAACCGAAACTGCAGGTGTGTCTGTCTGGTGGATTTTTAGTTAAAACATGTTTGTTTTTTATTCAGTGGGTAGAAATTATTTTTTTTATTTTACTCAAGAAAGAGTAGAAAAATGACTCAAGTAAATGTAAAAAGTACAGTATAGTAAAAAACAATACTCCTAAAAAGTTATTTCCCCCCCAAAAAAATGTTACTCAAGTAAATGTAACTAGTTACTACCAAACTCTGCTGCTAACTTTGTAGATTACAATGATTTAACAGTGAACACTGGGTGAAAAGAGTTCAGTCTTAAACTGGTAGACACAGATACATTTAGGTTTCATTTATCATGAAAATGTAATGTCCAGAACCTGAAAGAAATGTTGGATCTATAATATAACCTGGTACCACCAAGTTAAAGTTACATCAGTGAATTTGCAAAGCAATGTTCACTCCTAACATTATTATTCCTCAGGTTCCTTTACTGCATCAGAACTACATTTCCCAGATGCACACTCCAAGCTGCCATGTTTTTTGCCGTTCATGGCGAATCTGCCTCCGGGAAAAAATAGGTCATACTCAAAATATCACAAAAAATGTATAAATACAAATTTGCTGTTTCATCCTTAAGATTTCTGGCTTTATGTGTTGAAAACTTTACTGTGTCAGAAAATTGAGTTTTTCATGCACATTTATGACTTTTTGATAATATCTTTGTTTTAATATAAGTTTATGCCTTTAATCATGAAATATTTTTGACGTTTTGAGATCAGCGGAAAAATCCGCATTTTTGTTGTGAATGTGTGAAATCAGTCTTGAACTTTATGAGTGTTTTAGCGGAAGTTTTCATTTTATCTACAATGATCCTGATACTCCGCATTATGCACTTTATTAAGGAAAATAGTGAACATTTTTCTACATTTTATAGTTAGTCTCTTCTCCGGTTCTTTAGAGACTTTAACTTGTGATTTATGGTGATTGATTGAACAGTTTCTTTTGTAGTAAGTTAACTTTTAGCTGAAGCAGTCCAAACAGATGAAATGTGAGACATAAAACTGTTTAGAGTTGCAGGGCTCCATGCTTTACCTGCAAACCCAGCAGCTGCCAGAGCCAGTCCCACTGCCACCATGGAGCTGGCCTGCAGGGACACAAGAAGAAGAAATCAAGAGGAAAACCGTGAGTCTTCCTCTCATCAGCTGCTCCACACATTAACAAAGACCAGCGAAGCCAGCGCGGTCTCTTTATGCTTTATTCAGATATTTGCAATCCATTTGCCTCAGTAAAATCGCTACACTACCTGATTAAAGCAGTAAATAACTTATTAGCTGCGTTTGATAATATGCTGTTAGGTCACAGAGATGGAAGCTAATGTTAGCTTTGCTATTGAATTCAACGTTTTCCGGTCATTTTCAGAAGCCGGAACACATTTTATACATTAATGTCACACTCAGTGATAAATATCGGGTCGGACCTACCATGTCTCAGTGTTATGTCCCGTTTATATCGCAGATTAGGATCATAACTTTTGACCTCTCATGTTCTCGTAGCTAACCGCAGGCGTCCATGTGTTTATGCCGCAAAGGGTTGAGAAGTGTCGTGAACTTACATTCCCCTTCGACAGCTGAAGCAGCTGAAGACATCTGCTTGTTTCTATGGTTTCCGCTCACCTCACAACGTACATTTAAATCAAATGAGACATTAACAGAGGTGGGTAGAGTAGGCAAAAATTGTACTCAAGTACGGTAAGGGTAAGAAGTAACCGCACAAGAAATGAATCTAGTCAGAGTAAAAAAAGTATTTCATACAAAAGCTTCTCAAGTTCGTAAATGATCAGATCATTTCATTTAATATTTAACAATTATGTAATCAGATAGACAGAAATGTAGAGTTATGTACAAATTATGGTATTCTTAAGACTAAAATGAAAAAAGGTTTTCTTTCATTTCATTTTATATCATGACTAACAAATCCAGGCAGGAGAAACTCTGTTCCTTTTTTTTCCCAAGCAAAACAATACATGAAAATAATACTTACAGTAGACAATGGACATATACTGTATGCTAGATCAGGGTTAAGGAGTTCCAGTAAGACAAATAGGCTCACTAATTCTCAGGATTTTGACTTTAGTCTTCTGAGATTAAAAGTCAAAATTCTGAGATTAAAATCAAAATGACCTTTTTTCAGTGACCACTAAAGGGTCAAATTCAAGTCTAAGTTCCTGGGAACTTAGACTTGAATTTCAGAATTCTGATTTTTCCTCAGAATCAGAATTGTTTAAATTGTTTATTTGCCATCAGGAAAATCTAGTCCTAAAACTCAAATCTACCAAATACAGATCCTATCACAAGGACAAAACTGTTTTAATTATTTTGAATTGACCTACCTAAAAATGCTTGGTAATTTATTTTAATTTTGACATAGATGGACACAAAATTCCCAGAAAAAAGTCAGAATTCTCAGATAAAAGTAACAATTCTGAGATTAAAGTCAGAATTTTGAGATTGAAGTTTGAAATCTGACTTTAATCTCAGAAAATTCTCAGAAAGAAGTCACAATTCTGAGATTAAATGTAGAAGTCTGGGATTAAAGTCAGGCTCTGCCGCCCCTCACAACATGGGCATGGACAACCTGGGCGGTTGTCCATGCCGCCTCTATCATTGTCAGGAGCTGCACCTCAACTCTCTGCTGTTGCATTGTTTTACCCAGAATCCCCTGCGCAGACTGTCTAACCCGGAACACGCGGCTGCAGCTGACACAATGGGACAGTGAAGGGCCTAATTATTGCCCCTATCATTTGCATAATTACAATGTATTTTTCCAGGCAGAGGCAGTATAGAAATTGTAAATTGCAGTGGACTCGCCGCTCTGCTCTCCTCGGTGGAAGTCAGACCTAAATGCGTTGCCAGCCAATCAGCCAGTGGGATTTAAAAAGCCAACTGTGAGGAGAAATAAGAGTTTTGCCCCCAAATCATATGGAATTACAGTGCTGGTTGCATATGATGGCGGGGGGAGCCAGTGGCAAGCACAAAAGCCCGCAGGAAGCAGCTATTTCTGCGTGTTTTATTAACCCAACCAAGCAATTTAATTCTTTTGTTCGGAGGAGTTCTACTTCATTGATTAACAAAAGCGGGGATATAATTTTTTCAGCCCCTTTTGAAAAGCCTGAAATGTCAAGCCTTTTAAAGGAGATTATTCTGCCTGTGCGCGATGAATGGAGCCCAGAGTAACCTTTTGTCTACAATTAAATATTCCAGCATAAATATAAAAGAAAATCAGAGATGGGGAAGATTGAGTCAGGAGAGATTGGAGAGGTAGATCCCGTGGCCGATAGTGGCAGCAGCAGCCCGGCTCTAATTAGATATGCCAGGCGGGCTGCAGCAGTCACTCCGCGCCGCACGGCGAGAGGAGCAGGCAGAGAGGAGGACAGGGGAATATCTGCTCATCTGGCCGGCCAGCCGGCCGACCCACCGACCGGCGGGCGGCTGGAGCCTTCCTCTGGGCACACACCAGGTATTTCTGGACACTTTTTCTTTTGTCTTCCCCGCCGGTTGCTTGAGTTTTTTTGTTTTGTTTTGTTTTTTTGCCGGTATCTTCGCCGGGCGCGACAGAGAGGAAGAGTTTGAAAGGCAATGCCTTCTGGGAACTGCATAAGCAGCCAGAGCTGAATGGAGGAGGAAAAGTTTGTGATCCTCAGCACTGATTAGGAATGACAATGGGATACTTTAGGGACAGACTGGGATTCTTTTTCCTTATTATTATTATTATTATTATTATTATTATTATTATGAACTCAGGAGGCAGACTGGGAGATAAGGAGGGAGGAATGAAGTTTTAGTTTTTGTGTTTTGGAGTCAAAGTTGGACTTTTGCATTTGCCTGCAAAAGTCCAACTAATTAAAATTAGACTGCAGATGTGATGTGAAATGTGCTAAATCATGTTTTGACCTCCTGTCAGGGATTATTTCCTGACCAATCATTTCCCAGAGTGACCCATTCTGGAGGCGTGGTGCTCCTCTGGCTCTTTGACATGACGTGTTCATTCCCACTGCATGAATATGGTTCATGTGTCTCTGATTTTTATGAGGACTTTGTTTTTTCTGTTTAAAGTCGGAGTTAGCCACCATAAGGGGCTTCCATCAGCAGTAAATGTTCCCATTTAAGCAGAAACGGATGAAAGGTGTTTTTAATTTGCATTTTAATTCATAAATCGCATAAAATGCTGATAATATGTAAAGTTTAAGTCAAAATTTCACAATTTTTGTTTTAAAAAAGGTGTTTTTTTATCAGCCAACATCCATCGAGAAACTTTCAGTGCTAAATGTCATACATTAAGTCTAAAGTGAGTTTTAATTCTCATTTTAATTCTGAAATCACATGAAATGCAGACAAAGTGCTACGTTTAAGTAAAAATTCAGAATTGGCCTTGTAAACTTGTAGTATGTGGTTTTCAAATTGACCAAAATCTCAAAACACAAAGAAAGAAAATACATTAACACACCATCTTTGTAGTTATTTGTGTTTCAAATTTCTCTTCATGTTTTACAAACTCAGGACAACAGATGTGAATTTCTGTGAACAGCTTATATTTGAATACATTTAAAAGTAAGACATGATTTTCAATCATCCAGAGATTTTATTCAGTCATTTCTGTCTTCATAATGTCTGTGTTTACAGGTCATAAACAAAAAGTTGTAATTATCTATTTATTAAATGCATTAAGACCAAAAACTCCCACAATATTTAGTTAAGAGCATGAACATAGATTTACTTTTCAGTGCATAAAATTAGATGAAGTAAATGCAGACAGGAATAGAAAGACATAATCTGTGAATTCCTTAATTTCCTGCTGCATTCAAAAAGATAATTCATAAAATTGTTTGCTCCTTTTTATATTTTTCCAAAAATTGGTCAAAATCAGTTTTGGTAATTAGAATGAGTCCAAACATTGTGTCATGTCAGATAAATGCTCAAAGTTTGGACTCGCAGCAGATCATTTTAAATATCCAGATCAGAAAACGTCTGATCATTTTAAACTGTGATGATGTCATTTAACTATAATCACTTTCATCTGATACGTTTCTGAAGCAGTTTGGAAAAACAATCAGGTCAGAAAGAGAAAAGTTAGAGCGAAAAGATCCTGCTGGATTGTTGGCAGCCGCTCGTTGATATTTATGATAATTAAATCAGTTCAGTTACCAGATAAAGTCACTGCAAGCCAAACTGTATTAGAATAAACTTCATGGAGGTTTAACAGGCAGCAGCGTTTCTGATTTGCTTGAGTTTTCCTTCCTGTGTCCAAAATGATTTATAAGACTCCTCATAAACAGTTGTACGTTAAATTCAGTTAATTTTTCTCGTTTTGTTCTTTCAGATTTTGCTTTTCTTTGCTTTTAACTCTTGAAATAAAATCACTGGCATGACAGCAACTTTTTACCATCTCATTTGCTCTCTCTAAAGAAGTACATATTAAAAAGCATTTTTCAAAAGTTGCTCATATCAAACTTTTTAATGGTAGTCTGATCGGCCCGATCTTTTTACCTCCCAAAAACCTGATCTGTGCCACATGTGGTACAAAACCGGATACATGTCCGATTGTTTTCAAAGCGTCTGCAGTCAGAACGGTAAAGTCGCGTTTTATCCGGCTTTTACGTCATTGGTGTGAGACATGCATCATAATTCTGCACCAGAAAAAAAACTGATGCTGTAAATCAGAATGTAAACAATTTTTGAAAACTGTAATTATGAACGTATGAAGGAAGTCACAATCCCACCACATCCAGGCGGACTGCAGTCAATGGGCCACAAAAGGAGCACAGAGTTCTCACTGTAAGATCTACATTTTTTCCCCAGAATTCTGATTGAATTTCTCAGAATGTTGACTTTTTTTCTCAAATTCTGATTATAATCTAAAATATTTACTTTAATCTCAGAATTCTGACTTTTTTTTTCTCAAATTCTGTCTATAATCTCAAAATTTTTACTTTAATCTCAGAATTCTGACTTTAGTCTGAGCATTATGACATTTTTCTGAAAAGAAAACATCAGAATTCATTTTTTTCAGTGGTTGTGGTGAGGAAGAAACACTGTTGTTATAAACTTTGACATTATAATTTTCTACATGTAATTAAGAAACAAACTAGTGACAAATCGAGCAACTCTAGTTTTTAATATCTTCTTATTGGCATTATTTAAAAACATATGTGTACAGAAATTCACAGTGACTGCATGGCAGATATTCCCACATCGAACAAACAGCTTTCAGTTTTCCTCTTGTAGCTGTCAGCATGCCTCGGCCCTGTGGGGTGATAGAACATGAGAATTACCCCGGGGTGGGGCATGTTCTGCCACCTCTCCTGCACATATACATAAACCTGCTGTCGCTCCGTCCCAGCAGCGCGTTTCCTCCCAGAGGCTTTATCGCCGCCGTGCGCCGGCCTGATTGGAGGCGACGGCGGTAATGACTGCAGGTCAGGAGGTCACAGCTCTGTTATGATAAGTAAAATCTGAAGTCACGACCTTAAACGGCAGGCGGCTCTGACGGCTGATGATACCTGATAAGAGAGGATGAATAATGTTTTGTTATTTTAACAGC